AGGAATGAGGTGAAGTCAATAGCGGTTAGTTTGAGGTTAAAGGAGTTGGGGTTAGAGGATGTAACAACAGAATCAGGTAGTGTATTCCAGGCATTCACCATTCTGTTGCTGAAGTCCTACTTTCTGTAAACAAGTTTGAAGCAGTTTACATTGAGTTTGTATCTGTTGTGTGCTCTTGTGTTGTTGTGGTTGAAGCTGAAGTAATCATTGACTGGTAGGACATTGTAGCAGATAATTTTGTGTGCTATGCTTAAGTCTAACCATAGGCGGTGTAGTTCAAGGTTGTCCAAGCCCAAAATCTCAAGCCTGGTGTCGTAGGGCATTCTGTTGTGAGCTGAGGAGTGTAGTACTCTCCTTGTGAAATACTTCTAGACAATATAGTCGTGGTACGACTAGGACATGTGGGACATGAACCATTGCTGTTTACAAAGACTGAACTGAAGAACGTGTTGAAGAGATTGGCCGTAACGGCTTCATCGTTGCAGCCTTTCCCATTCGGTCCTTTTAGGGGTGGGATGGTTCTTGAGTCTTTAAGTTTGGTGTTAACAAAGTTGTAGAAGGCGCGGGTGGATTTTGTATGTAGGAGGTTTTCCTCTTGCTTGCAGTGGTAATTTGTGCATTCTGCCTTTATTTGTTGGCATAGGGTGTTGTATTGGTTTTTAAAGTTTGCTACATAGCTAGCTAGTTTTGTTTTTATGTGTACCTTGTTGGTACACATAAGTCTTCGCAGAAGCTGACATGATGTTACAGTATCTGTGAGCTCATCTAGGTCTGCAGAGGCATCTTCAAAGACATCCCAATCAGTGCAATCTAGGCAGGCCTGGATTTTCAGTCTTGCCTCATCCCACCAACTCCTCACTGATTTAATTGTTGATTTCATGGGTTTAAGTCTTTGTAGCAGGTACAAGGTGTATCGTGCAGTGGTCAGCATCTTTAAGCATCTTTTACTGTTGTGTAGCGGTGGTCTAAAAAAGTATCTTTGCCTCTGGTGGGACACTTGACATGCTGGGAATATTTTGAGAGCTCTTTCCTTAAATTTGCTTGACTGAAATCTCCTAAAATGATGAAAAGGGAACCTGGGTGTTTGGCTTCAGCCTCCATAATGTGGAGTTTGACTTCCAAGTTTGGGCAAGCAATAATTTTGCTGCTGTAATAACAGGAATAATGAGGTAAATATCTGCTTTCCTAAAATGCTCATCTATTAGTCCTAATAGGAACATCTCTGGTGTAAAAGTTAATTTTTAAACCCAACATTTCTTCTAGCCGTGTCCAGATTTTATGCCAAATTTTCTTGTAATCCCAACACATCTGGTAATAGGTACCCCGTTCTTTCAGACATTTCCAGCAGGTGGGCGATTGAGAACTGTGCATTTTTGTTAGCCTGGCTCCAGACCAATTCTTGATCTGCCTGGAATCCACATTGTATAACGGACATTAATGCAAGTGACCAAGTCCAGAGGTTTTTTTACAAGAAGAGTCCTCAACTCCTCTGCTTGCAATAGAATACCTTATGCAACTAAGCTTGAAATTTTGGACCTAGACAACTTAGAACGACACTGCCTATGGTCTGACCCAAGCTTAGTACACAAAATTGTCATAGGTGTAGCCATTTTCGTTTGTCTTAGTATATATTCTTTTTCTTATTTTCCCATGGGGGCGGGGAGTTGCGGGCTTTACAGATTCCTAAGGTGGGAGGAGTGGCGATGAAGCAAGTGTTTTGTCTACACGATCTTCTTTCTCATGGGAAATGTGGCTGTCTGGGCTTGGGGACCTGGAGGTGGAGAGTTATGACATCAAGCCATGCTGTAATACTTCTGTTGGAGAATGTGACTTATGGGGGTTGTTTTTAACTTCTAACATCGTGGAGAAATTCCGAGTTGGGTCAGATTGGGAATTACCATGGACTTTGCCAATGTGGGTGTTTTCCTAAATAAAAGAAATCTTTTTGAAGATGGGCTTGGTTATTTTTCTTTTAACATGGATTTCATTACTTGGAAACCTGACACAACGTCTTACCTGTCAGCTTCAACCGCAGTAACCCCCGGGCAAACAATAGATACAAACTCAAAGTAAACTGCTCCAAACTCAATTGCAGAAAATGCGACTTCAGCCACAACACCTGGAACTGACGACCTGACTCTGTTGTCACATCCTCAAACCTCCAAAACTTTAACCTCAAACTGTCTACCATGGACCTCACCCCATTCCCAAGAGGTCCTTAAAGGGGGTGTGCATAAGCGCACCAGCGTGCCTACCGTCCCCGTCCTACTGTCCCCATTTATCTGTATTGACTCACTTGGTTCTTGTTTATGTTCGTACTTATCCTTGTTATCTTGTACATGTTTGACAAACAAATAAATTAAATTAAATCTTACGCCCAGTTCTGGTCACTGCAATACCAAAAAAGATGTTGAGACCCTAGAAAAGGGGCAGAGAATAGCAACAAAGATGGTTAGGGGACTGGAGGCTGAACCATAGGATAGACAGCTAAGGGACCTAGGTTATTGTGCTGGTTAGACAGTATATAGTTAGTTTGGGAGTGAAAGCTGTGCCCTTAAGAGAATGCTTCATGGGAAATATAGTTAATGCCTCTTGGGAGATGTAGTTCATGTCACGTGGTCACATCTGTAATCCTGATTGGTCACTGGATTGACCTCTGGTTTGGCAGAGGGGGTTTTTGGGCATTATCACCTGGACTGCAGTATTGTGCTGCAGTCTTCCTTTGGTATATCGCTATGGGATGAAGATAACCATCTTTTCACACTTATGGAGGCAACGATTGCCGAATGAAGATAAGAACTAGGGGTGATACAACAGTTTTTCAGTACTTTGGGTGCTGCCCCAAAGAAGAGGGGGGGTCTACCTATTCCCCCAAGCACCTGAAGGCAGGACAAGAAGCGATGGGTGGAAACCCATCAAGGAGAGAGCCTTGTCAGAAATGGCGTGGATGATGGGACAGTGCTGTTTCGAGGGCGGGGTCAGGAAGTTTCAGTGTCATGGCCAGACGTGGGATGCTGCCGATTCACACCGGTTCTAGCGATCCGGTTGTGCTGGTCAGCAATTGGCCCTGCCCGCACAGCCCTCCCCTTTCGTGTCCTACATTTCCATTGGTTGTAGATCAGCTGATAGGCAGGGCAGAGTGGATTGTCACACCACATCTGTTTTACTCACCAGCTCTGAAGGTAAAGTAATAAATGAATGAATGAATTCTTGGCCAGGTGTGATTGGACACACAAGGAATTTGTCTTGGTGCAAATGATCTCAGTGTCCATAAAAGGAAAGGTACATTCATCAAGAGTCGAGAATCATAAGGTGCGACACTTAATGATAGTCATAGGGTATGATAAGAATAGAATAGAATAGAATAGAATAGAATAGAATAGAATAGAATAGAATAGAATAACTCTTTATTGTCCAAGTGTGATTGGACACACAAGGAATTTGTCTTGGTGCAAATGCTCTCAGTGTCCATAAAAGAAAAGGTACATTCATCAAGAGTCGAGAATCATAAGATGCGACACTTAATAATGATAGTCATCGGGTACAATGAGCAATCAAATCATACTAGGAAACAGTCAATATAAATTGTAAGGATACAAGTGACAAAGTTACAGTCATACAGTCACAAGTGGGAGGGGATGGGCGATAAGGAGTGATGACTTTAACAGTAATAGTAGTGCAGACTTTGTAAATAGCTGGACAGTGTTGAGGGAATTATTGGTTTAGCAGAGTGATGGCATTCGGGGAAAAACTCTCCTTGTGTCTAGTTGTTGTGGTGTGCAGTGCTCTATAGCATCATTTTGAGGGTGGGAGTTGAAACAGTTTATATATCCAGGATGTGAGGAGTCTGTAGATATTTTCTCAGCCCTCTTTTTGACTCGTGCAGTATACAGATCCTCGATGGAAGGCAGGTTGGTAGAAATTGTTTTTTCTGCAGTCATAATTATCCGTTGAAGTCTGTGTCTGTCCTGTTGGGTTGCAGAGCCGAACCAGACAGTCATAGAGGTGCAGATGACAGACTCCATCGTTCCTCTGTAGAACTGGATCAGCAGCTCCTTGGGCAGTTTGAGCTCTCTGCTTTGGTGCAGAAAGAACATTCTTTGTTGTGCTTTTTTGATGACTTCTGATGTTAGTATCTCAGGGGCTGCCCCAAAGAAGAGGGGGTCAAGCTATTCTCCAAAGCACCTGAGTGCAAGACAAGAAGCAATGGAGGAAAACTAACCAAGGAGAGAAGCAATCTAGTACTAAGGAGAAATTTCTTGACAGAACAATGAATCAGTGGAACAACCTTCAGAAGTTGTGAATGCTCCAACACTGGAAGTTTTTTTTTTTAAATATAGTTTATTAATTTTTACAATTAAAACCAGTCACAATACATACACAAGTAAGCAAAAGAAAAAAAAAAGAAAGAAGAGAGGAGAGGAAGAGAGGGAAAGAATTTTGAGAAGAGAAAGAAAAAGGGGGAAGAAAGAAAGAAAGAGGTTACAAGGTAAAAAAGTATTCTTATTTTAACAGTTTGCAAGATCTTTTGTTTTCATAACCTTAACTTGTGTCATATAACCACACCTGTTTTTAACTTATATCGCTACCTCGTTATTGTGGGTTGATACTTTTCTTTTATGCCTTATGATATATAATTTATCTTTGGTCAATCCAATTATACCAACAATTCCAGCTATCGTAGTATAGTGAAGTGTCTTTGTGTTTTAGCGCCAAAGTCCATTTATCCATTTCTGCGCATTTTGAGATTTTTTTCAATAATCATTTCTTCTGATGGAATTTGATGTTGTTTCCAGTCAACGCTGGGAGTTTTTAAGCAGAGCTTGGAAAACCGTTTGTCTGAAGGGGTGTAAGGGTTTCCTGCCTAAACAGAGGGTTGGACTTGAAGACCTCCAAGGTCTTCTTCCAACTCTGTTATTCTAAAACCCTCCTTCCAGAAAGACCCTTGCAGTTGCCCATCTCACCTCCTGCCTTTCTTCTCTCTTCCCAGGGAGATGGCGCAGCTCACGCCGTGGTTTTGGAGACAGGAATACTGGCTACCTCCGGGGATCACCTGGGAGGACATGCGGGAGACGGAGGACATCCGCTATCCACAACCCCATCACCTCCTGCTCTGCCTCCCCATCGCTCTCCTGCTGGTCGCCCTCCGGTTCTTCTTCGAAAGGCAAGCTCTTCTGTCTTTTAATTGCTGGCTGAATATAAAGAGAGACAGACAAACTCTACAGAGGCTTCCATACAAAGTTTCTTTGTTGGATCACAAGGTGTAACTCACCGTTACGTTGAGAGTCATCTAACGTCCAGCTCTTTGCGCGGCTGGCTTCATAGTGTAAAAACATAGTGATCTTTCATCCCATAAGGATGGAGCAAAGAGTGAGGCACCAGCGTGCTGCTGGGGGTCCAAGCGGGAGTAAATCGACCCAACCAAGGGTCAATTCAGTGGCCAATCAGGATGACAGATGTGACCACATGACATGAGCTACATTTCCCAGGATGCCTCAACTACATTTACCGTGAGGCATTCCCTTAAGGGGACAGCTCCCAATTCTAACTTAACTATCTCAATTCCCAATTACCTGTTTACTGTCTGGACATGACACAAGTTCTTGGCCAGCCGAAACCAACTCAGAGCAGGAGGAGGAGGAGGAGAGACCATTTCTCCAACTGTTAGGAGAAAACTTTCCTCCCCCTTTCCGGTCAAAAGCTTGAAACAGCAGAACATCCTGTTTTTTTTTTTTTTAATCCCTTTGCCTTGAGCCATCGTTTTTGAAAACAGAATGTTATCGACTTACCAAAATAAGAAGCGAGGGAAATTGAACCTGGCATTTTGATGCTTTCTGACCTAACGTGTTTTCCTGAAAATGAACCCTACCCTGAAAATTAGCTGAGCCCTGCCCTGAAAATGAGACCTACCCTGAAAATGAGCCCTACCCTGATTTTTAAAGTGTGCACCTAAGATAAACCCTCCACCACCCACCAGGGTGGCAATACACATGCTTACTAACCATTGAATGGACTCCATCCCGCTCGGAGTTTCCCAGGCTGTCTGGCAGAACCAGGTCTTCAGTACCTTCCGGAAGAGTATTAGAGTGGGAGCCATTCTAATCTCTGGGGGAATGATATTCCAGAAAGAGGGAGCCACCATGGAGAAGGCCCTCCTTCTGGATCCTACCAGGTGTATCTCCCTCAGGGATGGGACCCGCAACATTCCCTGCCTCCTCGCTCTGATGGGTCACGTAGATGTGACCGGCAAGAGACGATTCCCTCAGATAGCCTGATCCCAAGCCATGAAGGGCTTTAAAAGTGACAACCAGCATGCTTTGAATTGCACCCGGGAGCAAACCTGTAACCCATGCAGGTCCCGCAGGAGAGGTGATGCATGTGTACACCAGGGACTGCACAAAACCATGCAGGGCAGCTGCATTTTGCACGAAATGGAACTGTTGTGGTTCGCCGGCAGCCGGTGCAGATGGCAGCGGTATTGGACAGTGAGGAAGAAAGGGGACCGGTCAGGGAGTCTGGAGAGGACTTGGACGAAAGTACTGCGTCCGATGGAGGGATGGGGCCAGGACCATCTGGCAATGGGGTGCTGCCCCTGGAGCCTTCGGAGTCTGGCAGCAGCGAGTCAGAGGAACGAGGGGAGCCTGTTCCCAGTGCACGTATGTGCAGAGCTGCTGGAAGGTGAGAGCAGCTGAGACAAATGAGGCAACTCGGGAGTAAGGCTTGGAGGTGATGGCCCCTCCCATAAGGGATAAAAGTCAGACCTCGATGATGAAAACTTTGCAGGGAGCAAAGTAGTTCAATAGATTCTGCGTCTTCCTTGAAGCTCTTGTGTATTCTGTTTGGTTTTTTTTTTTCCTGATACTGTTATAATTTATCGGAAACTTCTGTTTTTGGCAGCCTTCCACAGAACTGAAAGGCGGGTGCTTATCTTGGGGAACGGTTTACAATTAGTTCTGGCTGTGAATGAAAATAATTCCCAGCGTTGCATTAAAATAGGTTTTACTTTTAAAAACAAGTTTTTGTTTAATTATGTTTGACGAAGCCTGGGTCAGAACAGGAGCTTCCGGATGCTCTTCAAGGGCAGCCCCAGGTAGAGCACATCACAATAGTCAAGACGGGAGGTGATGAGGGCACAAGTGACCGTGACAAGGGATTGCCAGTCCAGGAAAGGGTGTAACTGGTGCAACAACCTGCAGTTGTGCAAAGGCTCTCCTGGTCACGACTGCCACCTGCTCTGTTCGGGCCCTGGAGAAACTACCCCCCCCCCCCCGATTACACGCAGGGTCTGTTTGGGGCAGTGCCACCACATCCAAGACCAAAGGTGGTCATTCTCCCTGGGCTCAAGAACCCCAATCCCAGATCCATTCTCAGCCCCATTGGAATTCTAAGTTTAGAATTACCTGTATGTAGGCATTGCTATGATTTGTGTGCTATGTTTCACTTAAAAGCGGGGGCGGGGGAGAGCGGGAAAGGTTATATTCATCGGTTTTGTTTTCTTCGTTTGGCTTTCTAGGCCTGTTCTTAAGTGGTGCGTGAAACGAGAAAGCCAAGGACCGGTTAAATTTAGGGTTTGACTAACTCAATCCAGTTGTCAACTCCTAAAATATTTCTCTGGTCTTTTTAGAGAGTTGCCAACAGAAAGGGAGGAGGGGGGAGCAGTGCGGCAGCTTGCAAACCGAAAGTGCATTCCATAAATGTTTTCAAAGATAGTAACTAGGTGACTGAAGTTTCTGCCGTGCCAAATTCTAACTGGAGAGCATAATTAATGACTCTGGGCTATGGAGGTGTCCCATTGGAGAATATGAATTACGATACACCCAGGGGATGGAGGGGAAAACCAGGGTCAAGGGTGACAGTGAATGATGTGTCTCAGAGTCGGCTACACCCAGGCAGTGCCGGCATGTTAATTCCCAATAAGTCCTTTTTGAGTTTTGGAAGTTTGGCTCGAGACTCATGATTTAAATGGGGGCAACTGCCGGAATCCTGACACCAGTTGTCTAACCCAACCTGTTCCTTTTCTCAGGAAAATTGGTGTCTCCTTGAGCAAACGACTAGGTTTGCGAGAAAAGGTGAGGCGGACACCTTCTCTGAACCCCACCCTGGAAGCTTTTTACAGGAAACAGAGGAAAACTCCCACCAAGGTGAGTTTTGTTCTCGTGGTGTTGGAAGGGGTGGCTCAAACTCCAGCCTTGGATGTCCCAACCGTAGATGGATTGGAAAACCACGACCTGGATGGCTTGAGAATCTCCGCAGACATCTTGTGATGACCCAAAGGGGCATGGCAGAAAAGCAACGAAGTCACAAAAATAGGTAAAGTCCCTTTAACACCTACAACTCGGCTCCCAATGTCCAGTTATCCTCGGCTGGAGATCAGACTCTTCCAAAAACAGTCTACAAAGGGAGGAAATGCGGTCCGAACTCAAAGTACAGATAAATTAGAAATTTTAAAAAAACCAACACAAACCACGCTGAAGTAATTAACACGACAGGCCAGGATAATAAATTGCAGACTTCCAAAAGATAACGAAGCACATCACAGTTGGGAGGACGCCAAAACCCAGATAAGCCTCGACAAAGATAACCATGCTTTGCTTCCAGCAAGGTGCTGTGTGCAAACACCCTTCTTGTATCCTGTTCCCTCAGCTGCAACTAATGAAAGGGATCAGGGCCTGTTCCTCTCCCATAAGCCATGTTGCTCCCTTCTCCATTCCTCCCTGCATGCCCTAGGATGAAGAGGGGGTGGCCCTGGGTCTTCCTCTGAATGCCCAGCCAGACTGTGCCCTTCCCCCGTTTCCTCCGGAGCCACACTCCCACTCCCTGTCAGCTCCCTTCGGAGTCAGACTCCAACAAGGGCATGACAGATCTGGCCTTGGATAAAATGCTCCTGTTTTTCAGGGGCTTTGTAAAGTAGCACTTAAAAATCTGACCATACTTAGTCCACGATAGGAGACCATGAGTGGATCGAAAGGCTAAAGACTAGTGAGTCTATGGAGATTCTCAGCCATCCAAGTCGTGGTTGTCCCAAAGGAGCTTTTTCAAGGAGCTTTTTCCCTCCCATTCATTTTCTCTCTCTCTCTCTCTCTCATTTTCTCTCATTCTCTTTCATTCTCTCCATCATTCTCTCAATCTCATTTTTTCTCAATCTCTTTCAATCTCTCTCATTCTTTCTCTCTTTCTCTTCTTTCTCTCATTCTGGCTTTCATTCTCTCTTTCATTCTCTCAATCTCATTTTCTCTCAAGCTCTTTAATCTCTCTCATTCTCTCTCAATTTCTCTTTCTCTCAATCCTCATTCTCTCAATGTCATTTTCTCTCAATCTCTCTCATTCTCTCTCAATCTCTCTCATTCTCTCATTCTCTCTCATTCTCTCTCTCTCTCCCTCATTCTCTCTCCCCCATTAAAACCATTAAAAAAATTGGAGCCTATTGTGGTCTCGAATTGTGTTGGACTTTGGGCTTCCAGTGGTCTTGGACTTTGGCTGGGATGCTTTTCTTACCTATTTCTGCTTCCTGTCTTCCAGGAAGACCTCAGCACCTTAGCCAAGCAGTGCAACCTGCAACCAAGACAGGTAGAGAGGTGGTTCCGATACAGGCTGAATCAGGACCGGCCCAGCTTGACCAAGAAGTTCTGTGAAACCAGGTGAGTGGGGGTTACAGGGAAGAGGAGGAGGAGGAAGAGGAAGACCGTAGGGTCCTTGGGGTTCTCTGAGCTTGGTAGGGTTTTTTTTTGCAGACATTTCATTACCAAACTAGGTAACCTCATCTGTGCTAGAAGAAGTAAGGGGGTTGCAGGGAGGAGGAGGTCTGGATCCTTGGGGCTCCCTGAGCGTGACTATTTTCTTGTGGACCTTTCATTACCCAGCTAGGTGACATCATCAGGGTTAGTAAGGAATCTTTATATTCCCTTACAACTCCAGACTCCTTGAATCTTCCATCTGGCTGTCCAATGTGCCCTGATGGGTTTTTAAATTTAAGTTTTATTTTATTGTTTTCCAGCTGGAGAGCCACCTACTACGCCGCTTCCTTCTGCACGGCGCTGGCCATCCTTTACGACGTGAGTTCCAACTTTACTGGTTTGTTGGCCAAAACAACAACCACAACCCAACCCTCCATCACTGTGTAATACAGCCGGGGACCTTCTCATTCCCCGATATCGATTATTCCTCTTTTGGATGAGAAAAACATGGGGAATTGCAGAACGGGGGAATTGCAGCTCTGTTGGTTTTTTTCAACCTGTTTCAAATAACCTTAGCGACGGCAGTGGCCTTGTGGCCTCCTTTCCCTTCCTTCCTCCCCTTCAGAGGCAGCTCCAGAGAAAGGAGGGTGGGCTGGGTGTGACGGGATTCCTAACAAAACGTTGTCTCCTTGCAGAAGCCCTGGTTGTGGGATCTCCGCGAATGTTGGGTTGGGTACCCCCAGCAGGTAAGGAGTCAGGAGACATTGGAACCAGGGGTGGTATTCAAAAAAAATTTTTTTTAACTACCAGTTCTGTGGGCGTGGCTTGGTGGGTGTGACTTGGTGGGCATGACATGGCTTGGCGGGTATGACTTGGTGGGCGTGGCGGGGGAAGAATATTGCAAAATTCCCATTCCCACCTCACTGCACTAACCTGCTTTACAGCCCCGTTCTCCTGTGCAGGGCAACGAAAGAAGGACCCAGCCAATCAACTGGGACTCGGGAGGCAGTGGGTTGGTGGGGCCAGTCAGAGGCGGGATTTGCCGGTTCTCTGAACGACTCAAAATTTACGCTACCGGTTCTCCAGAACCGGTCAGAACCGGCTGAATCCCACCTCAGATTGGAACGAACATTTAGCAACCCCTTTTGCAGGAGACCTGCAATACAGATAGTCGTCGAATTACAATGCTTCACTTAGCGACCGTTTGAAGTTACAACGGCATCAGAAAAAATGACTTATGAGTTCGCACTTGTGACCGTTGTGGCATTGCTCATGGTCACGGGATCAAAATTCAGATGCTCTGCCCCGACTTGTATTTACGATGGTCGCGGTGCCCCGGGTGGTTGTGGAGGGGAGTGTCACGCAATTCCCGTTTGCGACTGTCTGACCAGCAAAGTACACGAAGTAAGGGATATTCGTTTTACAACCGGGTGACTAACTTAACGACTGCGTCGATTTGCTTAAACAACCCTGAACATCGTAAAAAGGGGGCAAATTCACGAAGAACTGTCTCGCTCAGCAACAGAGATTTGGGGCTCCATTGGGGTCGTAAGTGGAGGACTACCTGTCGCTGTAAGTTGAGGACTGCCTGTAGTAGAATGAAATGCTTTTTTAAAAAAAGATTAAAATTACCCTTAAAGGAAAAAGAAAAAGAAAATTGGGGTTCTATTGGGGTCCTAAGTTCGAGAACAACCTATTGTCAACTAAAAAAATACTTCTTTGGTCTTTTTAGTTGCCAGCAGAAAGGAAGTGGGGGAAAGCAGTGCATTCCTTAAATGCTTCAGATAATCGCTAGGCAGCCGAAGCTGTTGGCACTCAAGATTATTACTGGAGAGCATGATTGATGACTCTTGGCTATGGATGTGTCCCATTGGAGAATATACATCCAAGGGGTGGAGGGAAGACCAGGGTCAAAGGTGAAATGAATGATGTGTCTTAGAGTCGGCTGCACCCAGGTAGCGCCGGCATGTTTGCTCCTAATAAATCAATTATTTTACTCTGAGAGATGCGGCTAGAGACTTATGATTTGAATGGGGGGTGGTTTGTCGGAGTCATGACACCTATATGATGAGAGCCGAGTTTGAAAAATGCTACCCTACTTTAGTGTTTTGTCGTGTGACAAACACAACTTCATTGTTGCTCTTGGGAGTTGGGATTGCACGGAGCAATTCCTCTCCCTTCCTCCTCTTCCCCCTTTGTGTGTTGCAGCCTCTCCAGACGAGCCTTTTGGGCTACTACCTCGTGCAGTTATCCTTCTACTGCTCCTTGCTCATCTCGCTGCCTTTTGATGTCAAACGGATGGTAGGTGGTCTCTGGCGCCAGAAACGCGGTTGGTCAGGAAACCCACCCACCCCTATTCAGATCCAAGGAGGAACACTGTTCCTCCTTTCAGGTTGATTCCCGCCCCCCTTGCGTATTTATGTATTTTGTTCAACACTGGTTGTCGTGACCGGCCCCTCCAGGAGTCGAATCAGAGGAGGAGGAGGAGGACGCGTGGGGAATCAGGCTCAGTATCCCAGGGGGAAGAGGGAAAGGAGCTGACAGAGAGAGAGAGGAAGGTGGAACCTGGGCCATCAGCCCTCCGATGGAGAGTCCACAGCCCCCAGGTCTGGAGGTGGCTGATGAGGAAGAGGAGGAACAGCTGGGTCCAGTGCCTGACGCACAGATGCGCAGAAGGCAGGGGAGAGGAGAGCAGTGGAAATCTATGGGCTGGTTCTTGGGATGGAAAAGCCACTGCTGCTAGCGAAGCCCCACCCTGACTCTGGGGGATAAAAGGAGAGGAGAGCAGTGGAAATCTATGGGCCGGTCCTTGGGATGGAAGAGGCACTGCTGCTAGCGAAGCCCCACCCTGACTCTGGGGGATAAAAGGAGAGGAGAGCAGTGGAAATCTATGGGCCGGTTCTTGGGATGGAAGAGCCATGGCTGCTAGAGAAGCCCCACCCTGACTCTGGGGGATAAAAGGAGAGGAGAGCAGTGGAAATCTATGGGCCGGTCCTTGGGATGGAAGAGGAACTGCTGCTAGCGAAGCCCCACCCTGACTCTGGGGAATAAAAGGAGAGGAGAGCAGTGGAAATCTATGGGCCAGTCCTTGGGATGGAAGAGCCATGGCTGCTAGAGAAGCCCCACCCTGACTCTGGGGAATAAAAGGAGAGGAGAGCAGTGGAAATCTATGGGCCGGTCCTTGGGATGGAAGAGCCATGGCTGCTAGAGAAGCCCCACCCTGACTCTGGGGGATAAAAGGAGAGGAGAGCAGTGGAAATCTATGGGCCAGTCCTTGGGATGGAAGAGCCATGGCTGCTAGCGAAGCCCCACCCTGACTCTGGGGGATAAAAGGAGAGGAGAGCAGGGGAAATCTATGGGCTGGTCTTTGGGACAGAAGAGCCAGCGCTGCTAGCTAAGCCCTGCCTGAGCTCTAGGGATAAAAGGCACGGGGCAGAGTCGAATAGGTGTGGCAAACAACTATTTGTCTCCCTGCCGGCCAGCCACTGATAGTCCGAACTTCTGAATCGTGTCTGGAACTCTATCGGAATTCTTTCTGGGAATCTGTGGTGCTGAGTGTTGGGTGCGCCTTTGGAGCGTGTGGATGTGTGTGTCTCCCCACTGCTGAGAAAAGAGTGGGCACATCTTCTAGGAGTGTTACGAGTGTGGAGAGAGAGAGAGAGAGAGAAAGAGAGACTGATGGGGTGTTGGAGCCAATTTCTAAGTGCTTTCCACAGGCACTTAGAGGTTTTGTTAGCCTGCTGTGTGTGTGTGAGAGAGACCTTTTGCCAGGGTTGCTGGCTCTCCTAACAAAGGGGACGGGTAGAGAGCTTGTCATGTTTGTAAGCCGGGTCAGAACACTGATGCTCGTCTCATCAATACGACTCGGGCCAGCTGATTTTAAAACTACACAATCAATCGATCAAAAAGTTTTTAAAAAAACATGGATGCTAATTTGGCATCTGTACAGGTGCAATGCATCTATATAGTACTAAAAGCTTGCTACGATCTTTAAGGAGGCAAAATAATGCGCTGCAGGGCTGCCATTTTTGAACCAGGGTACCTCAAAATGAACTAACTTACAGAATGTGCCCCAAATCCAGGACCCGGGACTGACGAGGGGATGAAATTAGGGAAAGTGGGGATCGCTTCACTGCTACTGGCTGCTGCCGCCAGTCACATGAACTTCATTCGTAATGTTCTGTGACAGTTTCCCAGGCAGTCTTGCAATCCCTTGCTACCTCCCCGACTCAGCAGAAGCCTCTTCTCTGCCTGCTGGGAAGGGAAGGGAGGGATAAGGGGAAGGGATGGGAAGAGATGAAGGGAAGGGATGAGGGAAAGGGAATGGAAGAGATCAAAGGGAAGGGGGGGGATGAGGGGAAGGGAAAGGGAGGGGAGGAGAGGGATGAGGGGAAGGGAAGGGAAGAGATGAAGGGGGAGGGGGAGGGAAGAGATAAGGGGGAGGGGGAGGGAAGAAATAAGGGGAAGGGATGGGAAGAGATGAAGGGATGAGGGGAAGGGAAAGGGAGGGGAGGAGAGGGATGAGGAGAAAGGATGGGAAGAGATGAAGGGAAGGGGGGAAGGGAGGGGAGGGATGAGAGGAATAGACGGGAAAAGATGAAGGGAAGGGGATGGGAAAGATTTCCAGTGCTCCTTGTCAGATTTCAACAAGAGACTCAGGGGTGAAGCTGGCAGGAAACTGTTCCCCTTTTTGTACCACCCTGGGTCATTCTTGTTCTCTGTTTAGGTAAGGAAATTCCTTGAACGGTGATTCATTGGGTCACGGGCCATCTAGTTCCTCTCTAAACCCCTTCCCCAGGATGACGGGGTTTTCGGCCTCCACGAAGCAGCGTCAAAATGCCCCCAGTTCAGTCCTCTCCTCTCCCTGCAGGACCTTCATGAGCAGATCATCCACCACCTGGTCACTATCTTCCTCATCGGCTTCTCTTTCTGCTTAAATTTCATCCGTATCGGTTCACTCGTCATGTTCCTGCACGACATTTCCGATTGTCTCTTGGAGGTAACGTGATCCTTACCGGAATCAGAGGATATTCATTCCTCTGATAATTTGTAACTGGCTGACAAGCTGTACTCATCGAGTAGTCCTTAATGGTATTACACTACCCTCTTTCCCCCAAAATGGGACCTCCCCTGAAAGTAAGTCCTAGCTTGATTTTTACACTTGCACCCAATATAAGCCCTACCCCCAAATAAGCCCTAATTAAGATCCTACCCACTCCAGAGTGGATGGATAAAAATTAAGCTGGTGGGGACGGGGTGGAGCTCTCTACTACTTACCTTTGGACAGTTGTGGTCTAGACTCGCACAGCCTGATACCTGCCTTGCCGGCCCATTTCTTCTGCAGCCGGCAAGGCTGGCAAGGCTTTCCTGAAGGCCTCTGTAGCTGATAACAAAGCTCTGGATCAATCCAGAGCTCTCTTATTGGCTGAAGAGGCCTTCAGGTAAGTCTTGCTGGCCATAGAATAAGAATTTCCTGAAGGCCTTAGACAGTGAAAAGGAAGCCAGGGACGATGCACACAAGTGAGGTGCGTCAGTGGATTACATCCCCTGAAAAAAAGACCTAGTATCTTTTTTGGTGGCAAAAAATAAATATGACAGGGACTTATTTGGGGGGAAACACGGTACATGATACTATTACTTGGTACTACATGTAGTCCCTAATATTACTCTTACATCTATATGGAGGGAAGGAAAGCAATTAGGTTCTAGACAGTTCCATCTTAGGCCCAGGACTCTTCAAATATCTTCATAAATGACCATACTTTAATAATAAATTAAATAATACTATACATTTATATAATAAGTATAGTAATAATTATAATCATAATTAATTTATAAAGATTTATCTTCATAAGTGAGCAATCAACCAGGATGGAACAGGAGTTGCCTTCGGAAGTTGTGGGAGCTTCCATCACTAGAAGCTTCCAAGAAGAGACTGGACTGTCATCGGTCAGAAATGGTGTAGGGTCTCCTGCTTGGGCAGAGGGGGGCATTGGACTACAAGATCCAGTGGTGTGATTCTACTGGTTTGGCCTGGTTCAGATGAACCGGTAGTAAAAAAGACGCGACCATTCGGCCAAATCAGTAGTAAATAAAGCTATTGGTTCACCGAAACTGGTATTTCTTTTCTTTTTTTTTCTCCCAACCATCAGCCATTTTCCTACGATCAGCTGTGCTGGGATCCCCGCTCCACCTGTGACCCACTTTTTGCTTTCCTGGGCCTCAGGGAAACCACTTGGGAGCAAAAAATGGTTCTCCCAGGTACCTTCCCTGAGGCCCAGGAGGCAAAAAAAAAAAAAAAGGACCATGGGATGTGTGGTGGTGCCCAAAACAAGCCACACCTACCCAGCCACATGGCCACGCCCACCTAGCCACTTACACCTAGCCACACCCACAGAACTGGTAGTAAAAATATTTGCATCCCACCCCTGACAACTCTGTTCATCGGTGAAAAACCTGTTCATTGGAGGGGAACTCCTCAAATTTGCAGATGACACTAATCTGGCAGGAATCACCTCAGAAGACAAGCTCAGGATCCATTGTTGACCCATTCAACAATGGGTCCTGTCCAACAAAATGAAATTTAATGGGGAGAAAAGCAAAGTTTTACACCTGGGCAGGAAAAAGCCAAAGGGACAAATACAGTTCAGGTGAAACCAGGTTCAAAAAGAGGAACTGAGAAAAGGACCTTGGGAGTCCGAGTGGACGATCCCTTCGACACGAGCCAGCCGTGTGTGGCGGCAGCAGCCCAAAAAAGCTAATGCAATCCTGGGTTGTACAAACAGACATAAAATCACATGAAGTTTTAGTACGGCTTTATAAAGCCTTAGTAAAACCCCAGCTGGAATCCTGCATCTAGTTTTGGTCGCTACATTACAAAAAAGATATTGAGGGTTTGGGGTTTTTTTTTTGTACTACTGTGACCAAAATTGGTTGCAATATTCCAGATGTTCCTAGGTTTTTCTTGCAAGCTAATCCATCTTCATGTTTCTCCCTGACGTTTTCCTCAAACTACAATTAAAAAAAAAAAAAACACCTTTTCTGGGAGGGAAGAAACTAGGCGCTGCAGTTGAGACCCTGAGAAAATGGCCACCGTCTCCTGAACACCCGGAAGCATTTGTCACAAAAAGGAACCGCGGCCCTTCAAAACAATTTCCGCTCCTGTTTTTTGTCTTCTCGTTTTCTCCGCAGGTCGCCAAGATGTTTACTTACCTGAAGTGGCAGAAAACCTGCGATGCCCTTTTTGTCACTTTCTCGGTGGCATTTCTGGTCACTCGCCTGGGGATTTTTCCTTGCAAGTACGTTTCGGGGATCCACGCAAAAAAGGCTTTGATGGCAAAAATTGGGCCGCCGTTGTGAGTTTTTTTTTTTGACATCTCTCCCATCTCAGGACTCACCAGTTTAGCCTTGCTATATTCAAATGCCTATTTGAACCAGCATGTAAGCCCAACGGTCCACGATCATTGGCTCGTGGCCCATTTGGAACCCGGCTGCAGAAATAGTGGGTGAGCATGTGTTTGCGCGCGCAGCTCCATTTGTGTCAGCGGCGGGTGCGAGTTGCGTGTACATGGAGTTGCATGCGCGCATGTTTCACCGCTTTGGGGAAAACCCTAATTAGGAGCATAAGGTAAAAGGTTCCCCTTGCACATACATGCTAGTCATTTCTGACTCTAAGGGGCTGTGCTCATCTCCGTTACAAAGCTAAAGAGCTAGCTCTGTCCGAAGACATTTCTGTGGGGTCATGTAGCTGGCACGATTCAACACCTTCAAAAGCGCACGGAACGCTGTTCTCTTCCCACCAAAGTAGTCCCTGTTTTTCTACTTGCATTTTAAACATGCTTTCTAATGGCTAAATTGGTAGAACCTGGGACGAGTCACGGGAGCTCGCTCCATGACGCGGCGCTAGGGATTCGAACCGCCCAACTGCCGACCTTTCTGATCGACAAGCTCAGCGTCTTAACCACTGAGTCACTGCGTCCCAATTAGGAGCATAGCTGCAGTTAATAACAATTGAACCGATAACACGGCACAAAAAGTCTCACTTTAGGACTCAGGGATTTATTAGAATTTAAAGCGTAGCAAACATAAACCACTTATCGCATTTTTCGGACTATAAGACAAACTCCCCCCACCCCACAAAAAGCGGATGGAAATGTCTGTGCGCCTTATAAAGCGAATGTTGTCGAGGTCCCACCTACCTGCTGACTCCCACCCTTTGGCCTCTGCAATTTGCCTCCTTGCAGCAAACAGCAAATAGACTAGTCAGTTTCAGGACAGCCTGATTTATCATACACAACTGATTGGCAGTTGGATTGGTCTTCTGGAATACCAACGATCAGCTGTTCCAGGCTGCAGAGATTGTCGCCGCTGCCATCTATCGCCGCTTTTGCATATCCCATTTTCGGCTTCCACACGTCCCGTTTTTTGACCCGTTCCAGGTGGCGGGGATTACTGCCTGGAACGGGCCAAAAATGGGACACATGGAGGCTGAAAATGGGGTGCGTAGAAGCCAAAAACAGGATGCACGGAGACCGAAAATGGGGCGCACGGAGGCGGCGATAGTTGGCAGTGGTGATGAGCAGCAGTAGCGCCTATGGGCAGCAGCGATCTCTGCAGCCTGGAACAGCTGATCGTTGGTATTCCGGGAGGCAGGTCTGCTTGTGATGTGCAGATCTGGGATCCCCAATTTAAGAAATGTTCGAAGCATCTTAGAGGCCTTTAGCCCAGGTAGGGTGTCTGTTCTTCTGTAGTAAGATACTTCAACGTCAGTGTTGTCATTCAGATCACCTTGTTTTTTCAAGCCCTAGTAGACAACCCGAATTCCTTACTGCATGGATTATACCAGTCTTAAAAAGTATGAGTAACTTTTTTTTCTCTCTTTCTTTCCTCCATGGAAGAATTCTCCACAACACATATTATTATTCCATGGAAATCTACCAGCCTTTTTTCGGCTACTACTTCTTCAACGCCCTCTTGATGGTACTTCAACTCCTCCACATCTTCTGGTCCTATCTGATCATTCGCATGGTTTATCGATTCCTGATCTGTGGCATGGTGAGGGCAGAAATGGGCCATTTGGGGGAGGGGGTGCATGTTGGGGAGAAGGGAGAGGACCGCAAACTGCTCACACTCCACCGCAAACGCCAGTTGCATCAGGAAGGAAACCACTTCTTGCCCAATATTTACCTGGCTTGTAGAAAGAAAAACCCTACATAACTGAACCTGTTCCTGAATTGAATCGTTGTTTCCAGCCTTCGCAAAATGTGGGCTCATAAATTTTGCTATCAAAAAGGCATTGAGAAATGAAGCTGGCCACCTGAGGCCTTAATCGTGGGCGTGGGAAGGCTCGGCACGTCATGGGAACAGAATCATTCCCAGCACTTTTTCTAGGGCCGGGAGCCAGACAAAGGTTGCAAATGTCCAGCGGTTTGCAAGGAGTATAAATCCTTCCATTCCACACCATCCAGTCAGAGCTGAAGAAGCTTCTTGGAGGAGAAGCAAAAGGTCTTCAAAAAAAAAAACAAACTCCAGTTGCCTCCTGAAAAACCTTTGGGACTACTGTGACCCTGGATGGCTGAGAATCTGCATAGACACCCAGGCACAAACAGAGCAACGGGGTACATGCAGCACAATGCAGTGAGCCCTGTGCAGATCTGGACGTTGGGGAAACAAAACAGCTACTTCACGAACGCATGGCACAACCTAGGAGAACAAACCCATCAGGTCTGGATTCCGCAGTCCATCTGCATTTCAAAGACAGAGGCCTCACTTTTGAAGACAGAAAAGTCCACATTTTGGACAGAGAAGACCGCTGGCTTGAAAGAGGGGTCAAAGAGGCCATCAGTGTCAAAATTGAACAGGCCTCTCTCAACTGAGTGGGAGGGAATACGACATCCTCTATCTTCAGATTATAACATAGTCCTTTCAACAGTTCCAAGGCAGCTCCACATCATTTGCAGCCAGCCAGGGGGATCCCGGCACAGCTGATCATCGGAATAGCTGATAGTTGGGAGGAAAAAAAAACACAGTTTGGCTGAACTGGTAGCTGATTTTTTACTACAGGTTCAGCCAAATGGTAGCATTTTTTACTTCGCTAAGCAGACCATTGTAAATCGAGGACTATCCATAAAATGGATTCCAAAATGTACAATCCAGAGATCGGCCGTGGTCCAGTACTGTGGGTCTCGGAGCCAAAGCTTCAGGAGAAAGGCATGACCATGGTTAGGTGTTTTGAAGGTTCGGGGAGATGTCAGGGGTAACATGGAAGTTGTGATGACCCAAAGGGGCGTGGCACAAAGGCAACACAGTCAGATAATCAGTAGGAGTCCCTTTATTAGCTCCAACTTTGTTCCCAATGTCCAGGTTCCTTTTTGGGCTGGAGAAAAACTCTCCCAGGAACAGCCTTTGGCTGCAGAGAATCAAGTCCAAAACATGGTCAACAAAAACTGTAACTGTAAGTCCAATCAAGCCAAACTGAGGTAATTAGTCCGGCAGGGAAGGACCAAGAATTCCAGAATTCCATGGCAATAACTCAACACAGTTGGGAAGATGCCAGGAAGACAGATAAACCAAAGTCAACACAAGAGAAACTCATATTTGCTCCCAGCAGCTGCGGCACTCAGCATGCATCTCTTTTACTCTCATTCCCAGGTGTGGCTAATGAAGGGAATCAGGGCCCTTTCCTCCCCTGTAAGCCATGCAACCCACATTGCTCTCTTTTCCGTTCCTCCCTGCATGCTCTAGAATGAAGAGGTGGTCCTCTCACCTTGTTCTACCTCTCCCCTGCTCTGCTCAGCCAGACTTTGCCCTTCTCCAGTTTCCTCCACAGCCAACAGAGCCACACTCCCACTCCCTGTCAACTGTTCGGCTTCCTCCACCGAATCAGATTCGGACAGGGGCATGACAGAAGTCTTCTTAGACTTGCAGGAGGTTAAAGCTCCCGTGACCCCTTAAAACATGGGTAGCCTCTCGCCCTAGAGAGCCCTGGGCTTGTCTGAAGGCCACCAGAAGCCTGGTGTGTGGCCCTCAGGTTGAACAACAGTTGTGTATCCTTGATGGAAGAGGCCACCTCCATGTCCCCCAGCCCACCAAAGATTTCTGCCTTCCGGTGGTCTCTAGCCCCTCGGTTTCTCTTTTGCAGATGGAAAAGGACCTGCGGAGCCAATCAGAGGGCAGCGAGGATGAGGTGGGCCGCCGCGAGATGGAGCAGAAAAACGGCACCAAGGGTCCCCAGCCCAACCGCCAACCACCTGGAGTCACCCAGAGAGCGTTCGTACACACAAACGGGAATTCCTCCTCTGGCATTCCCACCCAAGCCAAATAGCCCCAGCCTGCTCCTCGTTGCTGCTCTGCCCCTCCCCAGCCCTCCCCTCTGACCTCCTAGACTTGGAAGCGGGTATCGCTCAAGCACACCAACCCCCCGCAACCCGACTCCCGCCCCAAAGTTGTGTGCCCAGTTCGGGCGCTCATTGCCTGATCGTCCAAGGACCCTCCCGAAGCTCAGGGGCAGCGAGTAGCCGACAAGCGTCTGCGGAAGACCGGGAGCGATCCTGGAAGGGTTCTCTCAGAGTGGGGGGAGGAGGGGGGGAGCGAGGAGGGGTATGGGTAGCCGAGCCCCGAGTAGGAGACGGTGATCTCCTGAGAGCCACGCCTTGAGCAAGGGGAGAACTATGGCGAGAAGATCCGCTTGGGGCATCAGCTTTCGAACGGGATGATTCACCATGCTCAATCCACCGTGGCCAATTCAATGTGGCCAACTCTCTGCAGGATAATCTAAGCTGTTCAATTTCATTCTTGAAAACAGTTAAAAGCATTATTTTAATTTTTGTTCTTCCCATTTCATTCTGTCCAGGGGTGGGATTCCAATTTCTTTTTTACTACCTGTTCTGTGGGCGTGGCTTGATGGGTGTGGGCGTGGCTCGGTGGGCGTGGCAGGGGAAGGATATACTGCAAAATCCCCCTTCCCTCCCCACCCCACCAACCTGCTTTCCAGCTCCGTTCTCCTGTGCAGGGCAACCAAAGAAGACCCAGCCGATCAGCCGGGTTACTCGATGGGAGGCAGAGAAGAGATGGGGTTGGCGGGGTCGGTCAGAGGTGGCATTGGCCGGGTCTCCAAACTACTCAAAGTTTCTGCTACTACTAGTTCTCCAGAACTGGTCAGAACTGGCTTGAAGACCACCTGTCATCCTGTCCCTCCTTTGGCATTTGTTCTTTAAAGATGTTATTCCGCCAGTTTTTCGATCTTAGTGTAACTCTTGTCCCGTGGCGAGTTGGCAGCTTGTATCATAAGAGGAGGCCAAAAGCCCCTGGTTTTTTGGGGGGGGGGTGAGGAGGGAAGGAAGGCAGGAGGCAAGGGAAGAAGGGGGGTGATGTTTGGGGCGTCCCTGGGAAGGTCGACCTGGAGCAGGAAAAGTGGCTGTGGATGCACACAGCTGACCGGAGCCTGGAGGACGCATCTGAACTCGGTTCTATCGTGGGGGGCTCATATGCCACCTCCTGCCCAGGGGAGGGGAGACAGACCGCATCAATCAAGATGAAAGGTGGACTATTAATTCCCCCAATGGGCCACCTGGGGAAACTGAGACCGGACTCAATTCTGCTCAATGTCAACCTTAGCGCTTTGATCAAATCTGTACGTTCTCTGGTTTTGATTAGCGGCCGTTGGTAAGAATGCCTGTTAATGCCTTTATTTGCCTTTGAACAATCGACCAGCGGAACAGCTTGCCACCAGAGCTTGTGTGGCTACTCCAACACTGGAGATTCTCAAGGAGAGACTGGCCAGAACAGAATAGGGTCTCCTCTGAAACAGGGGGGGGAGGGTTGGACTAGAAGACCTCCGAGGGCCCTTCCAACCCTATCCTGCTCTGCTCCATCACTTTTAAGAAAAGACTGGAAGGCTATTGATCCGGGATGGAGTAGGGTCTCTTGCTTAAGTTGGGACTAGATGACCTCCAAGGTCCCTTCCAAGGCTGTGACTCTGCTCATTCTGTTATTTGATTTCTGGCTTCTGACTGACCTCAACGCCGGTCAGCGAGAGAGAGACAGAGAAACGCCCGGTGACAAGGACATTAAGAGAGACCACCCTTTTGTGTGCGAGGCTTATGGGATGGAATGGCAATAAAATGGGGTGGAAAACTACAAAAAAAATGTTTTCAGGAAGGCAGAGGAGATGTGGATGCCCCCCCCCCGCCTTATCCCCAGTCTGTGAGAAAATTCTGGTGCTCCACAGAGACATGTTTCCCTCCGCAAAAGCAATTAATCCAGGCTGTGCAGGAACACAAGGCTGCCCCGCACACATGGCCTGTGGGAGCACAAGGTTTGCGTCATTGCGAACAACACGAGGGAGTAAGGGGAAGCGGGAGGAACTTGCCCCACACGCCTGGCCTGGCCACCAGGCTGCTTCTTTCCGCTTCTTCCTTCTGCTTTTGTCTGCACGCAAGGAAAGCAGCCGAAGTCTTCCTTTCTCTCCCCCAAACTCCGCCAGAAATGAGTCTTTGGGACCCTGCAAGGCCTCCTGCTCCAAGAGGCTGCGCTGGTGCAACAAGTTTCATTTCTGGCGGAGTTTGGGGGAGTGAAAGAAAGACTTCTGCAGCTTCTGCTGCTTTCCTTGCACGAAGCCAAAAGTCTCTCCCTCTCTCTCATTCTTCCCCTGAGAACGGAGCTGGAGACGGTATCCTTGCAATCCCAAATAAAGAACGATCGATCAGTAGGAAAACGGGGAGGGGGATTTTCCTGCAGACTTTTTTTTTTGGGGGGGGGGGGAGATTTTCCCAGAGTCTCTGGTCCGCGGGTTTTAAAATTATGAGTCTGTTGAGGTCTAAAAGTTTGGCGAGGCCTGAACTAGATGACCTCCAAAGCCCCTTCCAACTCTTGTTATTCTATGAGTCTGATGGCATGCTTGGCAGAGGAAGGCGATGGGGTTGTTGGCTTTTAAATTGTATTTTGAAAAGGCACTCAGCATTCCTTCCGGCAAATGGATGGCTAGGATAAAGTCTGTTTTATGAATAAATCATGACTAATAATAATCCAGTTCTGTGGAGAGATTTCAAAACAAACATCACCTCACGTTTTGGTTCTGGATCCACCAAGTTCTGGGAAGAAGACCTACCCCGCCAGGGAATTGAAAAGTTTGACCGCAGCGAGGACGGATAGAGGAAAGAAGATCCCTATTTGCAGGGATCCCTGTCGGTTGCCTGGAAATGCAGAAATAAGTCTCGCAAAAAATGCGAACCGAACCCTGATGGCGGTTCTCGAATGGCAACCACAATGGAGCCCCAAAATGTACAGAACTAGGTGAAATATTCAGTGATCTGGGTCCC